TACATTAAGATTTATAAGCTAGTAAACACTGAAATGGTAATGCTACTGAGGCCAATGGACCAGTGGGTTAGCATGGACTGTGGGAATGCCAGGGATACAATCTATGAATAATAGTGCGCAATCTATTATTCATGGGCTTTGAATAATAGAGGTGGATTGTAGATCTAATAATATACCTTTGTATGGCGTGTGCCTGCACTTGCTGTCTACCTATTTATTTAAATTTAAATCTTCTGTAGATGCAGAAGCTTTCCCCAAAATGTAATAACATAATATAACATAGAGTAACCTTTTAAAGGCAATAACCTGCTACAAAGTAATGTTTTACTGGGAGAGAGAGAGAGGGAGAGAGAGAGAGAGAGAGAGAGAGAGAGAGAGATAGATAGATAGATAGATAGATAGATAGATAGATAGATAGATAGATAGATAGATAGATAGATAGGATAGATAGATGTCCATTGCAGAGTGCATATCCATCTGTGTTCTGCATAGTGCTTGCTTAGAAACATGTTCAACCCTAATAGGTCCTATTAAAAATCTGCAGGGGTCAAGATTCTTAGTATTCTTTTTTCTAAACCTTATACCAATTTCCTTATTATGGCTATAGCCTAAGTTAGTTAAAAATTAGTTTGGTAAAAGTTTTTTTTCAGTAGGTTTTAACTAAGGGGTGCTTTAACTATTGTGCTTTAACTGTAATAGTCTTTTAAACACTTCTGTTACAATTAAATGAGCTCCTCCATATGCCATGTATTATTATTAGCTGACCAGCCTCCCTTTTTGTTTCAGAGACAAGTGGGACAGAAGAAAAGCATGCTTGGGTCTTGGCACTCTACCTGCTATGTAACAACATGGTAGGGAAAATACTACAGCACTGTTGGTGCTGATTATGGAGAATGTAGTGTGTGTCTCGCATATTACAATTATTCCACTGCATTCAACATGATTTTAGTGGACAGACATACGCTTTACTTATTCAAGTAAAAGGCAAAGAGCAGTAATCCGTAACAGCCAATCCGAATCCATCTTTCACTCATGCGACTCCAGTTAACTGAGCCCTGATTGGTTGCTGTCAGTTAATTCACTTCAGATCATCGTTGACTGTCCCTACAGACTGTCTTTTCATATGAGTTTAGTGCCTGTTTTGTAAAATATCTTAGAGATGATATATCTGGTGTAGTATTCCTGACGTTTTAATATTGTTATAGTGTTAATTGTTTTTCTGTTGATTATTTTAACGCACATAGAAAAATAAATTAAAAAATCTATTTTTTTAAAAGATGGACAATTCCTTCCCTAGTTTTGCATGAGTTGTGGACTTGATTAGGTTAAACAGAAGCCTTTCTAACACTCCCTCTCTCTGTCTCCCCCTGATTGAACCCCATTCAGCATGCTTTCTGTAAGGCCTTTAATTCTCTCTCCATAGTTATCATTGGGCTCCTGACAAATATGTCCCTTCACAAAGACAAGGCCATATTCTTCACAATGGCCAATCTGGACACTTTTAACCAACTTTTACTGCCTATCCCTGTAACACCATAGCAGCTAGTCTTTCTTTTTACTGGCCTCCAACCAACTCTGAAGCTTTTCATGTCTACAAATTAGGATAACTGTAAAGGCAAATCAGGGCAATCCGATGTTACTCATAATGGCATCAAATAAGAAGTAACTTTTATTTTCCCACTCAGAATATATCCAAAACAGGCAAAAAGACAAATAGTTGATTTGGATCTGTAGCCCACAGAATTGTAACTAAATCTAACAAAATTTCAGCCAGTAGTAGAACAAACACATAATAATATAGAAATGAACAGATGCTGTTTATTATATTATATTTGGGGATCATCTAATGTATTTGGAAACTAAAAGAATGTACAGTTAAGGATGACTTCATTTATAAATGAAGATTATTGTTAATATTTTTGTAAATGGCTGTGTGAATGACTTGTATAAAAGATCACTGTCTATAATGTAGCACAAACACACCTGCTTACATGACCCCATACAAGACATACCTATGGAAAGGTATGCTTGTATTGTGTGACAGAAGTGACTTCCAAAATATATTCATCTATTGCTTGAAATTGGAGCTCTTATTCCTTTCGTGCAAGTTTCAGCCGTACCACTTATATTGATAAATATGCAGTAGGAATATAAATGTAATACATTAAACTGAACTTATGGTGATACAGCAATTCTATAGAGAATATTTAAAAAACACATATCCGCTATCTCTGGGAAACAACACTGCCAACATTTGGCTTCCCATTTAGCAATATACTTATTCACATTCTAATTCTATACAATTTGATATGTGAAACACAACATTTTTCCTATATATATGTGTGTGTGTGTGTGTGTGTGTGTGTGTGTGTGTGTATAGATATATACACACACACATATACACACACTCTGTATAATTATGTGTGCATGGGAACTTACTTTTGCAACTTTCTTATGAGATTGTTGTTTTCAAAGTTGCAATGATAAATGTATCACAATATGTGGCAACAATATTACATTCTGTTACTCCATGTATTATAAGTATAACTGACTTTTCTACATTTCAGTTGAATGTATTATTGGTGTGTAGCTTTAACAACTGAATTTGTTTTGTCCTATAAATTACCACGTGTGCTATAATGATTATATAGCTATAAAACAGTTAACTGCTGTACCCTGTTTTATTAAACAATGCATGAAACAAATCTGATTCTCAGTCTCAATGGGAAAAGGAAATAAAATATGTGGTTAAGTTTTTCTGAATCTTTCTTAATCACAATAACTTACCTAAAATCATGGCACAGACTGAAGTTAAAATATAATAAATAAACACCAAAGCTATATAATGTAAATATGTGTGTGTGTATATATGTATATATATATATATACAGGTTTTAGGATCACTTTAAGAGCAGAACAAACTTGGTGCTTTTGAAGTTTAGTTTAGAAATAAAATCTATGCCATTTTTTTTATAAACCACTGCATATATATACTGCTTATACACTATATAAGCTTATTGCAATCTAGTGCAAAACAGGTTTAATCACAGTATACAGTAAATACAAGTCTGATCCTTACAACACAAATGAATATAACACACAGATCCAAAGAAGAAATGAAATACTACAACGAAAAATGACAATAATACTCTAATCAGTATAAAAGCAGAAGCTAATAATACAAGAAATAATGATCAGTAAGCTTTAAGGATGAATTATTTCTAGAAATCACTTACCCTGTGCTGAGGCTGAGGAGGTGGGTTGTTGATAGGAGTGTGTGCTCCAAGTAGTGGACAGAGCTGGAAGTGGTTGAGGTGGGACGTGGGGAGAGGTGTCAGGGTCCAGTCTCTATAGACAGCAGTGGGATCAGGGTGTGAATGCGCTCAGAATGTACATCAGGGATGTGATTGTGTGTGTGTGCTCAGCTCCCTTTCTGCTCTGTTCATGGCAGCTGCTCTGCAATTCATACAACTGGTAATTTGCAGTTAGGGCAAAACGTGAACAGAAAAACAATCAGAAATCAGAGCACACAGGCAGAGAGGAAAACGAGAGAAATGGCCATCACTATCTAATTGACTTTGAAAGGCACAAAATGCAGTTTTATTTCTTAAATAACACCCAGCCTAGTAAATAGTTTTTTTTTTCTTCTGTTGTTGTTGTCATGCCCTGATAGATGCAGCAGGATTAAAATTTAATTCCAAATAATTAGTTGCGGTTGTTGCAGTGCCTTTGTAATTATATTATTTTGATTTAAATACTTTTTTTGTGGGGTGGGGAGGCAGTGGAGGGGAGGGGAAGAAAAGGCTCCCAGCGTTTGGAAATAATGGTTATTCTTCTAGTATTTCAAATCCTGTCACTAGCAGTCTCTTCTTTCATTAGATCATCAGGCTATGGCTCATTAGAAAGCGGAATATTTCATTTTGTGCTGCTCTCTGAAGTTTCCAACAGTGCTGGCTGCGATCAGCTATTGACTGCCTGCTCCTATTCACCTGCTGCAACACTATCCCAGGTACACATCCCTGTCATTATATATGTCCATGGCGGTGCCCTGCACCAAACCAACATCCCATGCCATTTAGACACAAGCAGCATCAGCAACAGCATCCCGCCTCGTTCCTGACAATGATTTTTAAACGAATTCCTGCTGATTCGCAGGCTTGGATCTGGGATGGCACTGGCTAGAGGCTGCTCGTCTACACGGGGCACAGTGGGCAGGCACCGATCAACGAAAGTTGGCAGAGGTGCCAAGCAAACAGCTATGGCAAGTGTGCGTGCGATCGGATCTGCGATGGGGATGAAAGCGCTCTAGTGAAAGTTCTAGTCAGGACTGCACACTTGTAAGGAAAAATAAAGCGGATCGCGATGTGTACCTACCACGTTACTGACTTGTCCTGAGAATGCATAGTGCATCGTACGGATTGATCCCCCGTTATTGGTCTAATGTTGATTCGAACGTGTACATGCTGCATCAAGATCAGCTAATCCCGTCCCCCCCCCTAATCTTGTAAAAACCCAGATGAGATCATACGCAATTATCATCGTGCCAGAACGCCCCCCTTTTTTTTCTTTTCTTTTCTCTTTTTTTCTTTTTTTTCATTGAATACTCTCAATTAGCGCTGATCAAGTAGCATAATAAGAGGAATTAATAATGCATAATTCCAGCCAAACCTGCCCATCTCCTAGGCATGCAGTCCCATGTACAAATGGCAAAGTAGTATTTACAATATTTCTATGTAAACTGCAAAAAGAATACACTCCTTACTCCCCCACGTGGTTGTTTGCAAAACAGCATGAATGAAAGCGCTCGGCCAATGGGAGAAAGCGGCACCGAGTCAATACGTCGGGGCTGGCCAATGGCGGGGAGGCTGGAAGCCAATTAAAAGTGAGGGGGTGAGCCCGGAGTGTCAATCAGCGGGGAAGGAGCCAATCGTGGAGCCGGTGGGCGGCGCCCGTCGCACGAGCTCTGGAGCTGCGTTCTAAAGCACAGAAAGCAAGGAAGTTGCAGACAGTTAAGGAGTAGGAGCCATGGCTGCAACTGCTCAGTATCTGCCCAGGAATAACACATTGCCTTCCAATCCTCTGATGCATCCGGACTCCGATAGGATGCACCAGGGTACCACCTACAGAGAGGTGCAGAAGATGATGCACCAAGAGTACCTGCAGGGCTTGGCCACCAACGCCGGACACCCCATGAGCCTCACTCATCACCAGTGGTTGCCCAATCCCACCAGTGACTGGGGTAGTGGCTCTCACCTAGCCGGGCAAGCAGACCACAAAAGTGGGGTGCAAAGCAGCAGAGAGGACCTCAGCACCAGTTTCCATCACCACAGGTCGCACCTGGTCCACCAACAGACTCCCAGCAGCCATGCATGGGCGCAAGGAGGGGGGCACCACCTGTCTCCGATGTCCCCCAGCTCTAACAGCCACCAGCCTCTGATCTACTCGCAGACATCCTACACGAATTTGAATGGCATGCTGGGCCCTCAGGCTTCCTCCTTACACCACAGCATGAGGGACCCCTTGCACGATGACCAAGGAGTCCTCGACACCCACGTTGAATCGCCCCCCCAGCATCTCAACCACCATCAGGACCACTCAGACGAAGACGCTCCCAGCTCCGACGACCTGGAACAGTTTGCCAAGCAGTTCAAGCAGAGGAGGATCAAGCTGGGCTTTACCCAAGCAGACGTTGGCTTGGCCCTGGGCACCTTGTACGGCAATGTTTTCTCCCAAACCACCATCTGCAGGTTTGAAGCTCTGCAGCTGAGTTTCAAGAACATGTGTAAACTGAAGCCCCTGTTGAACAAATGGCTAGAGGAGACCGATTCCACCACAGGGAGCCCCACTAACCTAGACAAGATCGCAGCCCAGGGCAGGAAAAGGAAGAAGAGGACATCCATAGAAGTTGGGGTGAAGGGAGCCCTGGAGAACCATTTCCTAAAGTGTCCTAAACCCTCAGCCCATGAGATCACCAGCCTGGCAGACAGTCTCCAGTTGGAGAAGGAGGTGGTGAGAGTTTGGTTTTGCAACAGAAGGCAGAAAGAGAAAAGGATGACCCCAGCAGGGGTCCCTCACCCCCCCATGGAGGATGTGTATTCACAAGCAGAGACCCCTCCACTCCATCACACGCTGCAGACCTCTGTACAATGACTAAGAAATATATAAAGAGAGGATGTGAGGGAGTGGGGGATGAAGTAAGTACTTTTGGATTTTACAAAAGAAAAAAAATAGTAACAGGACCCCTAGAAAGAGACTGGAGTACCTTTCGCCAGAAGAATAAATTAAGACACCACCATAAAATCCCTTTTCCCAATCCTTTTTTGGTACACCTCAGCTCATCTAATAATCTTGTTTCTTCTTGAAGGTAAAACAAAACAACAACAAAAAAAGGAGAAGGGGAGGGAAGTAATTTATTGATTCAGAATATTGTGGGATAGAGTCAGATTATAAGAACTGTGAATATTTTTATTATTAATGTAAATTCTCATTCTCACAAATTTGTTGGCAGCTTTGAATGGAAATGTGTGTTATTTATTAATTAGACTATTTAGCTCCTGAAGTGCAGTAAAAGGGAAATATCTCTGGCATGGAAGTGGACGCTATAAACCCCTGTTGTTTTAAAGAGAAAAAATAAATAAAAGTGACACTTATTTATTCAGATCCACAAAGTTTTTTAAATTAATTAAATTAATTATCCAAAGTTTTTATTTAATTCTGTTTTGATTTGTTATTTTTTGGTATTCTGTGTCTGTTTTAAAATTCATTGGCAAATACCCTATTTATACCAAAAAGTACACCCTGGGACAAGCAGCAAAGTGATGCTGCTATGCATTAATTAATGAGATGCATACATTATTTAGGATCCTTATTAATTGGCATAGTTATACTATAACTTGTAAGGTCAGAATGCCAGTTTGCTGGTTAATATTAAGTCTTTCTCATAATGCCACTAAGGATACATTATTTTATTGTATCCAGATGCTTTAATAGATTAAAGGATTACAAAACCTCAGACAATTGCCTAGCTCTATAAAAGCTATAAAGTATATGGTGTATACTCTAAAAAAAAAGGGGGAATTATTCAGAAAACAAAGATCAAAGGAGGCTTGCATATTCCATTATAAAGCAAATAAACTAAAACAAAACAAAAAAGGAAAAAAAAAGTTTTGGGTTTTTTTACTTAACATTGACTTAACATTGTAAATATGTGTTATATGTATACATATGTATGTTTTTGAAATTTGTGTATTTTTTTTCGTTCTGTTTTCATTCTACACACTTTTGTACAATTACTAATTTTAAGAGAATATTTTAATATTATTTCCAGATAAACCTGCCCTTTCTATTTATTTTCAAATTTTTTTTGGCTGTGTAATATACTTTGCAATATATATTTTTTTTTTTGGTTTGGTGAATTCTGTTTGTAACTTTTACAAATGTAGATTTGCAATTTACTTTTTATATTTATGTTAAAGTAATATTGTATTACTTACATAAAAAAGAAATCCCTTTAAAAAAACCTTGTGTCTTTTTTTTATA